AATCCAAAGACGAGGCAAAACCTTAGTTAGGGCGGGTTTTTTACGTTTGAAATCTCAATGCACGCCGCAATGCCGGGAGAGCTTCGGGGACCGGCGAGTAGTCTTCAGGGGGTCTTCCGTCTTCAGCTACCCCGGGCCTCTCTGACATCACTCTCACCCGAGGGGGTGATGACAGGAAGCTGGCCCGGGAGGGATGAGTGCTTGCAGCAGCTGCGGCGCATTCTTTGCATCTCCCAAATCCCCCCTGGGAAGCGCTAACAAATTCTTTCAGGTCTACTCCAGAGTCTCCAGCTTGCATGCGATGCAGAGATGGTATTTAAAAGAAAAGCCCAGCGAACTGGCTTTGGGGATAAATCTACAAAAGGATAGAAATGTAACCAGCTATCGTGGAAACTCTTGGGGGGGGGGGCACGCTACACGTCCCCGAAATGGCCACTCAGGTTCGGAACACTCAGTGCAATCAAACTTCCCCTGGCCTGAAACCGTCTGCATCTTTCTCTTTTTTTTCCCGCCATTGCTTGTTATTCTGGTGTGAAACTGAGGGCGGTTGCACAACAGCGGATTCCAACGCCCGGATCCTACCATTATCTCATTAATGTGATTTCCACTTGTGGAGCAGGCTTTCATTTGCCGCTGCAGAGGCCAAAGCCTTTCTCTTCCCCCTGCCTCGAAAGCAACCACCCCCTCGTCCTCGTCCCCCCCGCCTCCAATCCCCCCCACCACCACCACACACCCCCCCACTGCGGATAGCGGGAGGGGAGTGGATGACATTTCGTTATAGCCGCTTATAGAGAAACTAATTACAGTCTGTTTGGATTATTTTTCTTATCTCATCAACTGTTGCTAACTGGAAAGAGATTTCTGCCGCTGAGAAAAAAAAGAACCGAAAATAACTCTGTGATGAGGATTTGGTATTAGATCTGGTATTAGAAGTAAAGAACTGAGACAACTTTTCTCGTGCAGTGCTGAGAGCGAAGCCTCAGTCTCGTTCCCTTTCTGCATCTTTCCATGTGTCTCTGTCCAGCTCTTTCTCTGCATCTCTCCCTCCCTCCTTCTCAATATCCATGCATCTCTCTCCCTCACTCCCTCTCTCTCTGAAAGCATGCCCCACTGCAGGATAAAGCCTTTAGATGCATCTCCACTTCTCCCCCTCTCTGTACCTGTCTGTCCCTCTCCCTCCCTTTCTCTGGATGCTTCCACCATATTAGGATAAAGCCTTCAGATGCATCTCTCCTCCCTCCCTGTCTGTACCCATCTATCTCTTTCTCTGTCTCCTTCCCTCTCTCTCTCTGAAAGCATGCTACATTGCAGGATAAAGCCTTCAGATGCATCTCTACTTCTCTCCCTCTCTGTATCTATCTCTCTCCCTCCCCACCTCTCTCTCTGTCTTTCTTTCTCCTTCTGCATCTGTATTTCCCTTCCTCTCCGTACTCATCCCTTTCTCTCCCTCCCTATTTCTCTCCCCCTCTCTCTGTGCCCATCTCTCGCTCGCTCGCTTTCTTTCTTTCTCTCTCTCCCTCCCTCTCTCTGGATGCCTACTCCTTGCAGGATAAAACCTTCAGATGTATCACTCCCTCCCTATACTGTACCTGTCTACCTCTGTCCCTCTCTCACTCCCTCCCTCTCTGTACCTGTCTACCTCTGTCCCCCTCTCACTCCCTCCCTCTCTGTACCCAGCTCTCTCTCCCTCTCTCTTTTCTCTCTCTCTCCCTCCTTCCCTCTCTCTGTACACATCTCCCTCTCTCTTTCTCTCTCCCTCTCTCTCTCTCTCTCTCCCTCTCTCTCTCTCTGTACACATCTCCCTCTCTCCCTCTCTCTCTCTCTCTCTCTCCCTCTCTCTCTCTCTCTGTACACATCTCCCTCTCTCCCTCTCTCTCTCTCACTCTCTCTATCCCTCTCTCTCTCTCTGTACACATCTCCCTCTCTCTTTCTCTCTCCCTCCCTCCCTCCCTCCCTCTCCCTCTCTGGATGCACGCTCCACAGCAGGCTAAAGGCTTCAGCTGTTTCAGCTCACCATTAGTACAGGGGCTCTCCGAGGTGAAGGGTGCTATGCTTGTTTCTGACAGTTTTTTTTTGCCCAGTGTAAAATATCACAAGGGCACACGGCAGAAATTACCCACAATCCCTCTCAGTGTAGGGGTGGGGGTTGGGGGGGTGATAGTGCGGGGTCACTGGCCAACAGCCCTGCTCACGGGGACGTATCAGAGCAGAAGGCTCACGCTGGGGAACACAGGTGTCGAAGCCCCTACCCAGCCAGACACCTGACATTTCCCTTCCTCACAGGCAGAGTCGAGGGCCCCTTTATTCTGCCCGGGTTTAAATTCTCGGGCTCTGCCTCTGCGCTTTGGGGGCCTTTGGGGCCCTGCAGCATTACCTTCAAACAGCGGCGCTGGTAAAGACGGATAAAAAAAAAAAAAAAAAAAAAAAAAAAAAAAACAGAAATAAATCCGCCATTATCTATCATTATCTCGTTTACAGAGGGGTTCAACAGGCCAGTGTAATCTGCAGAGGGATTCCGCTGTTAAAAATCCTTCCTACCCCCCCCAGCCCTCCCTCTCTGTAACCACGACGCAAACAACTTTGAAGCCGTGTCAGCAGCGGCTGACAGGAGCCGGCTCACCGGCTGTTGGCCGGGCATGTTCAGTGGAGCGGCACAGAGAGGTCAGTCAGCGGAACCGCCAACGCTGCGTGTCTCAGCTCCACCCAGCCCCCTGGTCAACACCTGTGGAAAATATGCCCTGCACCTTTACCCTCCCAATGCACAGAGCCCTTAATGGGGAAGTTCAGTGGGAAGAATGAGTGGGCAGGCATTATAATACATGACATTATCATCATTTAGCAGACACTCCTATCCAGAGCGACTTACATGGGTTAGAGTTTTATTTCCATGTTTTTCAATTATACAGGTGGACATTTACCGAGGCAATTCTGGGTTAAATACCTTGCCCAAGGGTACAGCAGCAGTGCCCTGGTAGGGATTTGAACCAGCAACCTTTAGGTTATTACCCCTGCTCCTTACCAATATGCTACACCGCCGCCCAACACAAGGCAGCACAAATACTGCAAAGGACTCCCATTCTTATACTATGTGGAAGACAGAACAGGATTCTCACCCTGAGAGAATTAAAACCTGTGCATGTGTATGCTGATGAATTAACACTGTCACTGTTTGATAGCGCGGAGTGGATCCTCTGCAAACCTGCGCTGAACTGGGAAAGGTACAAACGACAGCTGAGCTGTAATTACAGTATGTTTAACACTGTGCTTAATTACACACTACCTTAATTTAACAAGGTAATAAAACAGAAACAGCAATTACTATATACATTTTTGCAGTCTCTGAAAATCTACTATTTAAATCTAATATTTGATGCAGGATGCGGCACTTTTATATGAGAAGTTTACAGTAAATGCATTACAACACAGACCCACTTCACAAAGAAATCAGGCCATCTTAAATCATGACTCTGTAAAAGCGGAATGTCCAGACGAGGGCTGTGGAGCTGTTGTGAGTCTGCCACGTGCAGAAAGGTCCAGCTTATTAGACGCGGCATCCAGAAACGCGTCCGCCGCCTGCAAAACGCTCATCCAGGCTCCAAAGGCACAAGCAGGCTTTTCTGGGAAAGCTACCCGCCTTTATCCTCCTGAGGCGTTCTCCTTTTCCCTTGTTGGAGCGTTTGCGTCTCCCTTCCCAAACACTCCCTCTGCCCTGTTGTCTGAACATTCGTGGGCCACATCTGCCCGTTTATGCGCGTTTTAATGTCGTGTTTATCTTTTTAAAAAGGGGCCCTCTACTCATGCAGCCAACATGCTATTTAGCCTCATGCAGAACAAATACGATTCTGCGAACGTGGTTAATTTGTTTCACAACGCACGCATGCAAGAAAAAAAAAAAAAAGAAATAAATAACTTTATTCTTATTACAGCTGTGCTGTGAAACATTGTTTATTTATCTTTAGTAACAGCCAGAGAATACAGGAAATTGCTTCAGAGTTAATGCTCTCATCCAATTCATTGGTTTTCCGGAGGGATTAGGCAGGTTATTACGAAAAAGACCTTTACAGAGCGTACAATATTAAAGGCCTACTGGCAGATTAAACTCCTTCATAATAAACTGGTGAAAAAAGGGGATGGGGGGAAAAAAAAATTAAACATTTTTTATTGGGATTATTATGACCTTTACACACCAGCGACAAACATTACAAGCGAACGCGGAGAGAGGGGCAGCACTCCGAGTAATGTGATTTGGAAATGTTTGAGGAGAAGAGAAAACAAACCTTCACACAATGGGGCTTACACAGTCGAAAACACAACGCCGCGGAAACGATTATCTTAAGACCTGCAACATGTGACATATCCCTTCGCAGCTTGGCTCGGGCACAAAGGGGGGGTTGCCGTCCTGTTCCCTGCAGATTACGGGGGGGGAAACCTGACGGGCTGTGCTGATAAAGGCTAGCTGAATCGCAGGCTGCAGGCCTACACACTCCTGCCTTCTCAAGGTCAGTGCTTCCCATTGCAATGGCGACACGTCCAGATGTGACCGAGGGCTATTCGAGAGGGTGTTTTTAATCCACCCCCCCCCCATTTTGGGCTGAAGTCTTGACAGTCTCCTTTTGACTGCAGAAGCCTGTTGGTTATGACTGCTGCCAGCGGCGCTGAGTGGTGTTTCAGACAGCAGTGTAGCATAGTGGTAAGGAGCAGGGCTTGTAACCGAAAGGTTGCTGGTTCGATTTGCTGCTGGGGCACTGCTGCAAGGTACTTAACCCATAATTGCCTCAGTAAATATCCATGGACAATGTGTGAAACTGTAACCTATTTAAATGGACTGTATATATATAGTGCTTATATAACACTTTTCTACTCATTTGAGTACTCAAAGCACTTTACAATTATATGCCTCACGTCTACCTACCAGTGGCAGAGGCTGCCATACAGGCAACTGGCCACTGGGAGCAGTTTGGGGTTCAGTGTCTTGCTCAGAGACACTTCGATATTCTGCCAGGAGGAGCCAGATTCGAACCAGGGACCTTCCGACCTGTCTACCTCAGTCGACTGCTCTACCTCCTGAGCCACTGTCTCCCCTATTTAAGTCACTCTGGATAAGCCTGCTAAATGACAATAATGTAATGTAATGAAAATACCTGTTTTGACACCTGGCTAGAAACACAGACGGGTACTCACCCCGACCCATTCAACAGAGGGTGTTTGACAGCAAGCTCATCCTGACTGGCTGCGCCCGACTCGGCCTGTGGCTCTCCACGGCTAGTTCACCCGGCCCTCCTCCACACCTGCGGTCGATTCACACCTGCAACAGAAGAAGGGTCCTTCCATGTTAGCGTGGTACTTTCACCAAGCAGTATGTAAACAGAGGCAGGAGAAAAGGTTTAAACAAGAAATGCAAAAGGTAGATAAAAAAACACCGGTCTAAGAAGCGAAAATTGGGCATCTCAAGTAGCTCAATGGTTAAGGCACTCTCCTTGAACACAAGCTGTACTATACGCCCCCAGTTTGATCCTAGGCATGTCATCAGCTGGTGACAATCAAGAGCCCACAGCAGCAGAACAAACTGGCTTCACTCTGCTGGGGAAAGGGGTGGGTACATCAACAGGGGCTGCTCGGGATCCCTTTGATTTTGGTGGCAGCTGTGATTTGTCAGCTGCCTCCATGTTGCTTGTACGACATCAGAGCGGTAGCACTTATTCTCCAACAAGTACCCACTCCGCTATAGTGTTGCGTGCGGCTTGCAGTGTGACACAGCCGCTGGCTGTGTGCAAGTGTATCGGAGGACTGGATTTGTCTCGCCTCAGCACTCCTGAGTGAGTGCAGATGTTGTTGTGGTCAAACGAGCCCGCTACTGTCAAGAACCGGGCGAATCCAAAACGTAGGGTTGCATAAGGGAGAAAAAAAAAAGCATGAAAACCATTTACACTGCTATATCATACATGCATTCTGTAGATGTTGTCAAAATTTTGCATTTTCCCACGTTCAACTGAGAACATGGGCAGGACTCCAGTGAGACCTGGACATGAAGTAAGCAGTTGCTATTAGACTGCGCTGGTGAGGACACGATATTCCCCATTACCATTCAAGTCTAGTATTTTCATTGAAACCCTTTGTCCCACAGGCCAAAATCTCAGGATTTTTTTTTTTCATTAAAATTCAAAGTGGTTATGGTCAATCAGTAATCGATTTTTACACAGAAGGCCACTTATTTTTCACTGAAATTTCTTCATCAGAACCGCAGCCGATGTGCCAAATCCGTGTCGAGTCAAAAGCACAAAAGTTTCATTGTGAAACTGACACTTCAATGGAGCCCTTCACTCCAGCCTTTTCTGACACTGCTAAGTGGGCTTAAAATAATCTCACAATAAAACAACACTCAAAAAGCAATTCATTTGAGCTGTTGCAGCACTGAACTCCGTAAGGAAAGGGGGATACCAAAGAAGGCGGCATTTATACTAAGAGAGATCAGTGGGGCAAACTTTCATTAAAAGTGTTCTGAGGGATTTTTGGTAACTTTCTGGACAGGACTTCCAGCAAAGATCACAGGAATAACTGGCAGGCAAAGAACACCCCCATTCAGCAACGCCACCCCGGGCCTATCCCTCTGTCTCCAAGTTATAAAAGAGTGCCATTCTTCAACAAAGTAAACCAATAAACTGCTCTTCCCCATTACAGCTGACATCCCTTATTTACCAGTTAAAAAGGAAAAAAAAAACAACAAAAACAACAACAAAAAAAAAAAAACTTCAGCAGCACTGCAGCAGTTTGACCGATACAAGCCGACTCTTTGTGTTTTGCAGATCATCAGCCTGAACACTGCTCTAAGGCCAGCCAAAGGCCTTGTGCTAAAAGCTAAAGGTTCGCAGAGAAATTGATCAGCCTGCAGACTGAGCCGTTAGTTTATCGGAGACTTAAAAGTTACCATGTTTAATGAGCCTGAATGTTTTTTTTTTTTGAGGCAAATTATGATCGATGGCCCTCCCTGACTGAGCAGCTTTCCAGTACAAAATGTCGCGAGTGAAATAAAAAATCATCTCAGTAATACTCTCTGACCGGGAGCAAATTATATTTATACATCAATACCCCAATTGATCTGCGGGGGCCAGGAATAGACCATAAATGGCGCGGAAGAAACAAATACATATTTGTAATTGCAACGTGAATTTACACGCGTTACACAGCGGGGTCGTTAATATGCTGACAATCCATCAGGAGGGAGCCGGGGGTGGGGGGAGCGACGGGGCTACTTCTGCCCGCCATCAATCGTATGGGGGGCATGCGGCAATCTCTCCACGACGGGAGTAGAGAGGCCCGCCACAGACACTGTTAAATCAGGATGCAGGGGAGAGAGAGAGCCAATCGATCCCTTATAAAATGGACTTATCGACGAAGCACTTAAATTAGGTGTTTGAGAAGTTTATACTGTTTTTTTGGTCAAACGGCGTCATGTTTTTATTTATTTATTTATTATTTTTTGGGAGTTTAATTACAGTGATGTGACTGAGGAGAGCGGCGGAGTCCCTGGCGTGGAAAGGTGCGGGCACGCGCCATCTCTCTTCCGCCAGACTTGCGTGAGGAAATGCCAGTTGTGTCAAGGGCAACCGACAAGCGATCGATGATGCAACTCGACCCCGGAGTTCTCCCCTGACAGCAGAGGTCACGGACAGGCCTCAAGAGTACCTCCAGCCCCGACTGTGGCGGCATACTAATCCCGCCTTCCCAGGGACCACATCTTTGAGGTTCGCTTATGAGCCAAGAAAGGAAAAAAAAAAAAAAAACAGCTGTCTGGTGCCCAGCCCCTGCCGAAAAGCAACAGCACACACAAACATTAGATCAAGAGCCGTACAATATGGCTTTTGTTCCGGCAGCGGAAGAAGGGACACGACTTTGGAAAACAGAGAGTTATGGGCAGGGTGAGCCGGGCTCGGTGGGTGCCGACATGCACAGAGATGGAGATTAGACTCCCCGGGCGCCCCGGCAGCATCTTTAATCCGGCGGGGAACGTGCGCAGCCAGTTAACAACCCGTTTGTCTCCCCGTGGCCGCGGGGGCCTCACGACTCGGCGGTTTTACACCCGAAACGGCTCTTATTTACATGACTGCTTTATTACCGCCATTGTACCAGTCTGGCAGCGCCGTGGCCCGGTACTTAGCGGTTCCAGCCGCTCAATCTTCGCTGAACGCTCTGCTGCAAGGGCAAGGAGGAGAAGGGGGGGAGGAAAGCGAGAGCGAGAACAGGCTTCAAGAGGCACCGGCATACGGCATTATCAGCTTCCCCAGCTGGTTTTAATTGATCTCCCAGGGTGTCGGCACTCTAAAGCGGTTTCTCCCCGTCCCCCAGGGAGCCGGGCTGCTCCGTTGCCCGCGGAGACGCTCCCCGCGCCTTCAGTGACACACGGCCGCTGCCAGGTGCAGATCGAAAAAAAGGTGAGGGAGTTGGAGACAAAGGTGGCGGGTGAGGCGGAAGGAGATATGTGGGCGGCGGAGATGTGCAGGTGGCGCAACCTGTTAGAGGCAGGGAGTTGTGTCAAGGCGGAGGAGGAGCCTTGTGGGAGGCGGAGCTGAACAGGAGGCGGAGCTGTAGAGAAGGTGGAGCCATGTGGGAGGTGGAGCCTTGTCAGAGGCAGAGTCCCACGATCCTTGCAGAAGGTGTCTCCTGCAGCTCCGTGCTCTCCCCATCCCAGCACAGCCTGCTATTCCCCCCGCATCCAGCTCCCACTGTCCTCCTTCCCGGATCGAAGGACACCATCTGCAAATTGGATTATTCCTGCGATGCAGCCTGCAGGAGGCGCCGAGCCCTCGGGAGAAGGGGCTGCGGGGCCGGCCGCGTTACTGACGCGGCACGCCCCGGACACACAGTTCATGCAGAAACGCGCCATCTGGACACATCTGGAGACCCCCTCTGCCCCCCTCCCTGACGGGAACACCAGCAGCACTGCCAGTGGCAAAGAGGACAGGCAGTGTGTGTGTGTGTGTGTGTGTGTGTGTGTGTGTGTGTGTGTGTGTGTGAGTGTATGTGTGTGTATGTGTGAGCGTGTGAGTGTATGTGTGTGTATGTGTGTGAGTGTGTGAGTGTGTGAGTGTGTGAGAGAGAAAAAGAATGAGAGAGTCAATAAGAACGTCTGCATGTGTGTGCATATGATTGACTGACTGAGTCAATGAGAGCGTCTGTATGCGTTTATGTGTGTGTGTGTGTGTGTCTGTGTGTGTGTGTGAGAGAGAGAGAGAGAGCGAGAGAGCGCAGTAATGGGCATTTGTGTATTTATGTGCATCAGTAACAACTACACAAAGGCCTCGTGAGGCCTCTTCTAAAACATTTTACAACATTTTAACTGGGCTGTTCCAGCTGTCCTGCTGTACCACACTACACTCTGAGAGAGAGGGGGTGGGGGGTCTCACAGTAATGAGCACCACAGGAGCAATGCTGCAGCTACTCCAGCCCTCATACACACACACACACACCCAGGACCCCGTCCCTGCAAGGTATGGCACTGCAGCCAAACCAAGAGATGTCAGCTGAGGTTCAGGGGCCAAGAAGTTCCAGAGAAGTCCTAATGAAGTCTCTGGTGAGGTCGCCCTTCAGATGCAAACAGCTGCAGCCCAGCTGAGCGTGCACAGAACGGCCAATATAAGCAAGTCTGTGCACTTTCTCAAACACATAACTGTCCCTCACAACGACTCCTCCTCTATCACCTCTGTAAGCCACTTTCAAACCTCGGTAATGCTCTGTAGCTATGGGGACTCAAAAGATCCAATGACACCAGACATGTGGTTAAGGTCACACAGACAGATCCCCAGAGCATGGGGGGGGGGGGGGAACTGCTGTGGCCTTACTCCACATTCAGTCCACATTTGTCATCTTTCCTGTTAGCTTAGAAACTAATTGTTAACCAATCAATTTTCCATGTTCAAGTGGGTGAATGTTGCTTTGAACAGGTGCCTCTCATCTTTTTTCATCCAATATGAGGCTAGGACACCTGCAGCATGAATGGACTATGAGGCTAGCTAAGCTACTGGACTACACACACATATATATGCACGTACATGCATGTGCATGCGCACACACACACACACACAC